GCCTGGGGCCCCACGGCGCGGCCCGCTCGCGGTTCGCTGCCCGGCCCCTCGCCCGCCCCTGGCCCTGGCGCGCCGGGTGCGGGCGGGGGGCGGGGAGGCCGGGGGCGGGGCCCCCCAAACCTTACCCTAGCTTTCGGGCTGGGGGTTGGTTCCCGGGCTTGAGGCGGGGTCGCCCCCTCCCCCCACTAGCCCTAGTGGTTAGGGTCCAGTCTCCCTAAGCACGGGGACAGGGCCGCGCCTCCCAGCTAGAGGAACAGTCCTCCGGACAGCATGACGGGCTGGGCTGCTCGTCCCCTCCTCGCTCTGAGCCGGGGTCCTACGCTCTGGCCTGGGGTGGGGGGAGGTGTCTTCGCCTCTCCACCCCCCACGGCACCGAGGACTAGCATCTGGGTCTCAGCCTCCCCGCCCAGCAGACCAGCTGGGGTCGGCGACTCCTTGATCGGAAGGGTCCCTTGATCCTGCTGCCACCGATTCCACCATCCGGGGTGATGACCCAGGGGCTCGAAGCACCCGGAAACACAGTGTTCTTTGGGGGTCTGTACCCTGGGGTGGAGTTTGGACCCCTAGTTCAGCTCCCGCGTTGGTCCCAGAGCCCCGCCCCCCTCCTGACACCATCTCTCTCGCCCTCCGAGTGGGGCACGGAGTCACTTGAGTTTGCTCTCCAGCCTGGGATGGAGCCCTGATCCCTGTTCTCTGTTCAAAGCCTTCCTAATTCTCTCCTCATTCTCGGGTCCTGGGCTCTGCCTTCCTCTCCCGTCTTACTTACCCTGGGGACAGCATCTGTGAGGCTTTGGACTCTGCTCCTGGGGTCTGTAAACTTCACCCTAGCAAGATCAGGCCCCATACTGGCTGTTTCTCCTATACTCCCTGGTGAGTGTACTCAGATCATACTCCCTCCACACAACTCCCAGACCCCTGCTTTGGATCCTTTTACGCACCCTGACTCTGGCTTCTAAGGCTCGCTCTCCCTTGCTGCCGGTTTTTTGCACCGATTCATGGAGAGTCCCCCACCTCTTTCTTTAGTGCTCCTCGTGCTTACTCCATTTTGGGGTCCAGGTTCCACGTCCCACAGATGCCATCCCTGTTCTAGGGATGTACCTTTTTTCCAGGTACCTCCCTCACGGCAAGGCTCCAGAGACCTTGTCCCGAACTACACTGGGGTTGTTTTCTTTCTCCTTGCGAAGTTTTACTCCAGGCCTTTGGTGGCAGCGAAGTGGGGCACCGGACCTTTGCTGGACAGAGGCTCCGCCCCCTGCCCCGCCCCCAGCCTCCCCTCCCCAGGGTCCTGACCTGTGAATGTTTTGTTTCTCTGGTTCCTCTTTCTCCCTTCCTTTCCCACTGAGATCTGAAATGCAGCTCCCTTCACCCCCCGGAGTGTCCCCCCCTCCATGCCTGCACTACACACCCTACCCGTGTCTAGCGTTTGGAGAAATTTGAGACTTGCCCTGGAGATGTGGAAGTCTGGAGTCTGCAGGCCCAAGGTGGCAGCTGGTGGGCTTGAAGTCCCCCGGAGCCCTGAAATTCAGCCATCCTGTGGGGCTGTGATTCTGGGCCCCTGGGCCCCTGCTCCCCGCCGCCCCCCGCCCCCCCAGGGTGGGGACTAGATTCTCCTATACCATCCAGGGCCTTGAAATCCGATCTGATGAACTCTACTTGACCCTCCGGTGGCCGGGGGGGCCCCCCACCCCAATTAAATCAAGTTGACCCTTCTTTTGAGTTGCCTCAAACGGGCGCCTCTGTTCAGTGAACCCCCTGAGGTGGTGTGTGGCGTTTTGCACAGGCCCCCTGTCCCCCGGAGACGAGGACCTGAACTTTTCCCCCCTCATGCTCCGGGGGACCTGTCCCCGAGGCAGGTTGAGGGAACGGGCAGCTCTGCCCAGGCTGTTTTTCCGCGCAGCTCCAAACAAGCCCAGAGTTGAGACTGTGGAAGCCGCTGGGGCCCGGTGCTGTTTACAAACACGGATCTGAGGGCCAGGCGGGGTAGGTGGAAGCCACGGCAGGAAGTGATCTGCAAAGCGCTCGGGGCGTCTTCCTGAGCGTGTGTGCCCCTGTCACGCTGTCCCCCCCCCCCCCCCCCGCGGCGAGGGCGGGGGTGGGGGGGGGGGCAGCTGCCGAGAAATCCGAGTCGTGAGCATATGGCAGCTTGAGGGATGTGCCCCAGGATGGTCGTGCGGCAGCTCGGGATGTCCAACCTGGCGAAAGGGCCAGGCCTCGGCGGGGGCGGGGCGCTCCCAGGGGCGGGATCGGGTTAGAAGATGCCTTGTGATCAGACTCGGCTCGCCGAGCCCACCTGCCTTTAGCTCCGTGGCGGGCAGTCAGCTTCCACATGACATCGCCTCTCTCCTCCAAGGCCTTGGGCCTCTTCCAGAAGAAACATCTTGCCTGCAAGCCTATTTTGTCTGCTCAAGGTAGGAAGTCAGGCTAAGGAAGGTGAAGTCTTTCTGTTTGCACAAGCGTTCGGGGCTCGCTGAGGGCCGGCACAGTGCTTAGGTCCCGAGGCAGGAGCTGTGCTGGGATGTGAGGGTCCCCAGGCCCCCAGACAGCTGGGTGGGAACGGAAGGAAGCGCCCTCAGGAGTCAGATGGCCCCTGCCGCTGACTACGCAGGGAGGCTCTGGGCCGGCCGCTTCTTTCTCGGAGCTTCAGCCGACTCACCTGCCTGGCGGGCACGGCCCCCTGCGAGACTCGTGAGCAGGAAGTGGCCTTGTGGCAGACATTGCGCGTCCATAGTGCAGGGCTGGGAAGAAGGCCCTACAGCAAGGAAAGGGCCTCCCCTTGAGATTTTGCAGGCCGGCCGGGCACCCCGCGCGCCGGTATCTGGTTTTGTGCCCCGACAGCCCCTCCGCCGTCAGCAGGTGTCTGTCTGCTATACGCCTGGGAGAGGGTACACATCTTGCTTGGATAGAGAGCACAGAGGGGCCTGACAGAGGGGCCAGGGTCATCTGGGAACCCGGGGCTTCTGAGTCCCCCTGCTGCCATCAGACTCCACGCCTCACCCTTGAGCAGCCAGGAAACGGGAAACCCCAGAGCCTTTTGGCACTGAGACCACTATGTAAACACCCTGGCCGGGTTCCCGCCCGCCCCCGACTGTCAGACTCTTAAGTTGAATTTAAGGGTTTTATGGGTTTCCTTGGGTGCCGTCCTGCCCTGTGCTCGCCAGCTTTCCATACCTTCCCTCATCACGTGTACCTGTTTCCCCCGTTCCCCTGGAAGTTTCTTTTTCCCACCACATTGCGTTCATCACAGGCCGGCTTTGGGGCTCGGGGCGGGTGGCCCATCCTTCAAGGATACTTTGCTCATGTAGCATGTTGGGGGACCCTCACACCCCTCACTCCCCCTTGGCGTCCGGGGTCTCACAGAGGGCAGGCCGCAGCCGGGCAGCCCCAAAGAAAACACTGGCATCAGCTGAGCCCTTGTGTTCGGTTTGACTTAGTTGGAGGGACCCTGCCAGACCTCTTTCATCGCTTTGCCGCAGCTCAGCGAGCGGCCTCTGTGGCTGCTGGATTCCCGAAGCCTTCCCCTTAGACCCGCGGTTCTCGGTGGGACGATCCCCTCCCCAGAGGATGCTTTGTAGCGTCTGGGGGACGTTTGCGATGGTCACCGCTGGGGTCTGGGGCAGCTCCTGGCATCGAGCGGCGGGAGGCCAGGGCTGCTGCGGAGTACCCCACAGTGCCCAGGGCGGCCCCGCCCCAGAGAACAGTCCAGCCCCGCCGTCCGCAGTGTCGAGGCAGAGAAGGCCCGCCGGAACGCGGCGGACGTTTGATGCTCGCCAGCGCTCAGCTCCGTGCGGACGCCTGCGGTGCCGAAAGGGGAAATTACCCCCTGGCTTCAGAGTCGGGCCCGGGCCTAGGTTTAGGTCTTGGCTCTAACATGGCGCTCACCCTGGCCTGGCAGGGTCGTTTTGAGAATCAGAGTTAAGCATATAATCACACGCGCAGCTCAGTTCCCGGCAGGTGGTCAGTATTCGGTTGTGGCTCCCTTGTCCAGAGGGAAGGGAAAACACGTTTGTGGCCGACGTTGATCTACCCTGCTGTCCGTGTGCGTTGCCTCCTCTGGTCCTCCCCACATCCCGATGAAGTGAATCCTGTCATGCTGATGAAGAGACCGAGGGTCAGGGAGGCCATTAGTGTGCTTGGCTAGGGAGTGGCTGAGGCTGTTTACGGGTAAAGCGGGATCCTCCGTTCCTGCCCTGGGGATGCTTTCAGGCTTGAAGATGGGAAACGGGAACCTAAAATAGAAGGCAGCGGTGTGTGTGTGTTGGGGGGAGGGGGGGGCAGTCAGAAGCTTTTGCTGCGTTGGCAATGCTGAGGGAGGTTCGAGGAGGAGGAGGGGAGCAGGGCTGAGCTGGGAGGGGGCATCGCAAGGAAGGGTGAGCTGGCAGCCTGAGCAAAGACACGGAGGTGGGACCGAGCCTGGGCTAGTGGGCCTGGTGCAAAAGCTGCCTCCTCCTCCTGGGTTCTTGCTCCTGCCAGCCAGAGTGAAGGGGGCTCAGGGGCAGGGCCAGGCAGCACCTGATGGGGTCTCACTTTGCTGTCCCCCCTAGTTAGGGCCCAGGGGGCTCCAGAAAGCCCCTTGTCCCATGGACAGCCCCTGAATCTGGCAGCGTCCCTTCTGAGCACGTGTGTCTGTGGTTGCTTTTTCCCAGAACATGGTGATGAGTTTCCGAGTCTCCGATCTTCAGATGCTCCTGGGTTTCGTCGGCCGGAGTAAGAGTGGACTTAAACACGAACTTGTCACCCGGGCCCTCCAGCTGGTCCAGTTTGACTGTAGCCCTGAGCTGTTCAAGAAGATCAAAGAGCTGTATGAGACACGCTACGCCAAGAAGAGCTCGGAGCCTGTCCCCCAACCCCACCGGCCCCTGGACCCCCTGACCATGCACTCAACCTACGACCGGGCTGGCACGGTGCCCAGGACTCCCCTCTCGGGCCCCAACATTGACTACCCCGTGCTCTATGGGAAGTACTTGAACGGACTTGGACGCTTGCCCGCCAAGACCCTCAAGCCAGAAGTGCGTCTGGTGAAACTGCCCTTCTTTAACATGCTCGATGAGTTGCTGAAGCCCACAGAGCTGGGTGAGTCTGCCACTGCCCTGGGGGTCCCACCGGGCATGGGCCCAGTGGCCACGGCCAGCCCGTCACCGCTCCGGAGCGTTTTCTGGGGACCAACGAGGGCCATGGGGTTGCGGGGGGCTCTCCCTCTCGGGAAGCGCAGGGGCTATCTCTGAATCTTTATATTAGCCGCGTAGCGTCGTCTCGCAATTGACCCCAAATTTTAGTAGCTTAAAGTGGTGGACGCTCATCTGCTCTGTTTGTGAGCATCAGAACTCGGGAGTGGCTTAGCCGGGTGGTCCTGACTCAGGGTCTCATGAGGTCTCAGTAAAGCTGTTGGCTGGGGGCTGTCTCATCTGAAGGCCCGACTGGGGCTGGCGTCCACCCACTCACCTGGCTGCCGGCAGGACTTGGCTTCTTGCTGGCTGTGGACTAGAGACCCCAGTTCGTACCACACGGTGCCCGTGGACGGCTCGAGCGTCCTCGCTGTGTGTAACGGTGGCCGGCTTCCTCTGGAACCAGTGGGGGTGGGGGGGAGGGAGGGTTCGTGTGCACATCTGTGTAGGATCAGCCAGAAGCCACGTCCTCTCGATGCCCTAAGCTTCGAAGCGGCATGACCTCGTGTTCTCTGCTTTGCATCGCGTCCGTCCCACAGACCAGCTCTGTACATCGTGGGTGGGGACTGGACCGGGCTGGGCCGTCCAGAGGCGGGGATCGCTGGGGGCCACCTGGGATGCTGGCTTCCAGGTCCTAACTCCCAGTGGGTGGCAAAGGGGCTGGAAGTTGGATCCAACCTTTCCTCTGCAGAGGGTAGGCGCCCCATGGGAGCAGCCTTGGCCAATGGGTTCGGGCCTGTCAGCATGGGCCAGCTGGCTGGGGAATGGCTAGCCATGCCCCCGAGAGGTACGCCGGGGCTGGAGGAGACCCATGCCAGGGCTCCGTGGCTCCTCCCTGCTTATTCACCTGGCCCCCATGTTGATGGGGCACCTGCCGCGCGCCAGGCCCCCAGCCCGCAGCCCCTTGCCAGCGGCTGTGATGATGGGGCCGGGGCGGGTGTCAGCCTGGTCTCGGCCTCACGTGCTGCCCCGATCTCAGGGCAGGGGGGGCCTACCCTGGGAACGCGGCAGGAGACCGAGAGCGCCCCCCGCCCTCGCGAAGGTTCCCTTCCGGCTTTCCTCCTTCAGGGCCTAGAGGTGCCCCCGGCCTCGTCGGTGCCGTGGGTCCTGCCACCCCTGCAGCCCATTCCCCATTTCTCCCTTTCAACCCCCACGTCCTTACTGCGCCCCCGCTGCACACCTGGCCCTGGCCCTGGCCCTCGCCGTGCGTCGGTCCCTGCGTGCCGTGGCAGAGGCCTCGGTCCCTCCGGGCCCCCACCCGCCATGCCCCTCGCTGTGTGGTTCGCTCCCTCCCACCCTGCTGACCCAGCGTCCTGTCTCGCTCGGCCAGGGGGCCCCTCTCTGCACGCAGCGTTCCACGCCGGCCCGTGCCAGCCAGCCCGCCGTGTCCAGCCCCCTTCCTCGCCGGAGCCCTTGAGCTCCGTGAGGTTTGGCGAGGGGGCTGTGCTTCTGGGAGAGGCTGCGGGGGGTGGAGGAAGGAGTTGCCGGGGGTCCAGGCCCGGGACCCTGAGGCTCTGCCTTCCTGCCTCCTCTTGGGCAGTGTTTGTCACCGGCCCCCGGGTGGGGAGCAAGTTGCCTAGCAGCACCTGTTGTGGGGTCGACGTGGCCGCACCGGAGACCCGAGGCCCTTTCCTGAGCTTCTGGACGCCTTCCCTGTCTGCTCCCCCCAGATTCTCTGTGCGTGTTGGAAGCCATTCTGCCCCTACCCCCAAGGACTCTGGCAGGCTCTGCGGGCCTTGGGACTGGCTGGCTCTGAAGGTCAGGTTGACGTTTCAGGTTCCTCAGGACTCGAGGATGATCTTCGTGATAGAGAGGCTGGGTTTTCACCGGGAAGCAGTAAGTCAGGCTTGGCACTGGGTGGGGGACAGAGGTGACTTTGAACTCCAGGGCCGGCAGCCTCCCTCCCCTGCCTGGACCATGGGCTTCCTTCCTGCATGGCCCACTCCCGCCCCTGCCCCACAATGCATCACTTTGCCCTGAGCCCCCGGGGACCCCAGTCACCTGATCTCCGGGAGAGTCTGCTCCCCTGTCTGCACCAGGAATGACTCTGCTGGCGGCTCAGAACAAAGAGGCCGACCCCGCCCTGCCCTTGTTCCCACCCACTCCCCCGCCCCTATCCTGAGTGCACCCCTTCCCTGGCTTCCCTGGGACTCCCATCCTCGGGGACCCCCTGGCGGCTGCCAGGTTCATCAGGAGAGTCCTCGTGGGGCCCAGATCTGGCCCCGAAGCGGTCTGGTCCCTCTGTTCCAGGACCGGCGATGTTGGCCACCCGCCCCTCAACCTGGGCGCCTCCCTGTGGCAGCGTCTGCAGCCCTGGCGTTGCCCCAGAGCCACTCCACCAGGCTCGAGCTCAGCCGGCTTCCCCCTCCCCCTTGCTCCTGACCATGACCTGCTGACCAAAATGAGGTCCAAACACTCTGGTCTGTTTCCCCGGAAGAGCCGCCGGCCGGCTCTAGCTCCAGGATGGAGACCGTGCCGGGTGCAGAGGGGACATAAATCACAGGGAGTGGAATGTTTGGGTTGGGGGAGGGGAGGAGAATAATGGAGTCACAGACCCAGGAGCTGGAAGGACCTCAGGAGACAAATGATGTGCTGCAGTGGGGCCGGCACCTAGAAAGGTCGGGAAACGGGCCCGAGGTCACACACCATCCGGAGGAAGGGGCCCCGGGGTTGAGTGTTCTCAGCTCTGACCCTCCCCGAGTCATCGTGCCCTGCACCCCTGTGGGGAAGAACCCATCTTGAACCCCATGACGGTTCTGGAGCCCAGGCCGCCTCTTAGCTCGAAGAGCCCGGCTGTCCTCCCCGTCCCAGCCAGGAGAGGGGCACCCGATTCCCGACCACGGCAGAATTCGGGGGAGGTGTGCCAGGGAGCACGGTCCTGGTCGCGGTGTCAGCGGCCAGTCTGACGGGGGGAGGCCCGGACCCCCGTCTGGGCGTGTGGGAGAGAGGAGAGGCCGTCCTGAGACTTGAGGGCAGAAGGAAGGAGACGTGTTGACCTGAGCAGCGCTGCTCCGCGAGGCTCTGGCGTCCTGTGGCCAGCGGCTCGGGCTGTGGGGCTGTCCGTGTCCCCGCTGCCCTGGAGCGATGGTGCCCGAGTTCCCCTGGCTCTCTACGTGCCCCTACAGCTGGGTGGCCCGACGCTGGTTGAGGCCTGCCGGTCCGGCACCTGCCCTGTCGTGCGGGGCACGCGTGCGTCCCCTCACCCAGCCCCTGAAGCCTTTGGGTGGTATTGCCCGGGCAGCCAGGCAGGCGTGGGGTCCCCCGCTCGGAGTGTTCTGCCGGGAAGCGGCACTAGACACGATTAAATGGTGCCTTGAGAGGAGTGATTGGGGAGTGCAGGCTTCCCTGGGGGCAGTCGGTGCCACGAGCACCTCATCGTGCATTTGTGAGGAGGTGGCAGCGAGGAGGCTTCCTGGAGGAGGCCGAGTTCCAGACCTGAGGGCCGAGTAGCCATGAGCAAGACAAAGAGGAAGGAGCAGGGGAGCGGGGTGGCGGGCACAGGCCTGGCAGCGAGCGAGGGCTCAGGAATAGAAGGTGTGGGGACGGGAGCTGTGTGGCACAGGAGAGCGAGGCCAGAGAACGCAGGATGAGCGGGCCACGGGGATGGTGGGGACCGACCGGACTGTCCGGAGGGCTTCGGGGTCGCTGAAGGTCTGGTGAGCTTTGCCAGGTCTCCTTTCGTTGGGTCCTTTCTGGGGTGGGTGTTCCCCCTGAGGCGCAGAGCCCCCTCTGTGGTTCCATTCCAGGTCCGGTCTCCCAGCTTCAGGCCCACCTGCCTGGCCGCCCCCCTGGTCTCTCCCTGTACGTCACCCGCGTCTTCCCCAGCAGTCAGAGGAAACTTAAAATAGTGGGCTGGTCGTGTCCCTCCTCTGCTCAAAACACTCCCGTGACCCGCTGACTTTTCCGCCTGGTCCCCTCCCTGCCCTCCCTCCCTCCCTCCCTCCCTCTCTCTCTCTTCCTCCCTTTCCCACCCTGCTCCAGCCACACAGGCCTCACTGTTCCTCCAAACCACGGGGCCTGGTGCTGCCCCGGGGCCTTTGCACGTGCTGTTCCTGCCGTCTCACGCTTTCCCAGACCCTACATGGGCCTTCCCTTCCCAGTCACCTAACCTAAAGCTCGTCTTCTTTCCTAGTCGCTTTCCCTCATCTCATCACCGCCCTCTTATCCCCTGTGGCCCTGTCCCCGACCCTGACATTGCTTATTAATCTGTATGTGTTTTTTGACGCCTGGGCCTCGTTTGTTCCGTCGCTGCATCGACGGTGTGGAGCAAGGCAGGGGGTGCCCGTGTGAGCAGAGGCTCGTTGCTGGGAAGCAGTGTGGGGGGCCGCGGTGAGAATGACCTTGAGCTAGCATTCTGCAGCTCCCCTTCAGCGTGTGAGCCCCTTCCATCCGCGTAACTTCACGGGGGCAGCAAGTCACGAGCCCGCCGGCTGCGTGTGGGAGCCCCTGTGAGTGGCGGAGGTGGGCGTGAGCCCGGAGCCCCCGACCCAGGGCTTGTGCCTGCTTGCTCCCTGCTGCCCGCCAGGCCCTCTGCACCCAGCCCGGGGCACCTGTCTTCCCATCTCTTCCCCCAGCACCACCGCAGCGCCACTCGCACCAGCCACACCACCTCTGAGACCTCGACTGCTCCATTCGGGGGCCTGCGGCTACGTCGTGGTGGGGGGGGGCTGGGCCAGGAGTCAGAGACCTTGTGGGTCTGGGGGCATTGGCTTAGAGGGTGGGCCTTTCTCCTTCTCTGAGGTTCTAGGGTGCAGGAGGCCATAGGCCAGCGGGAGGGAGACCAGGCCTATCTGATTGACTTGTTTTTGAGTTTACTTACTTATTTTGCGGGGGGGGGGGGGGGAGGGGCAGGGAGAGAGGAGGGGCAGAGAGAATCCTAAGAGGCTCTGCACTGCCAGCACAGCGCCC